TCACCCCAGGGCCTGCCTCGATGGGTGGCCCAGGGTCCGGCCTCCACCAGCCTCACTGACCCTGTCACCCTCTGCCCAACGGGGTGGCCTCACTGGTGTCCACAGGCCCTAGACTCGGGAGGTGAGGTCAGCGGGCGGGCAGGACGGGCACTGACATGTGGCAGCCACACCATCTCAGCCACCGGCCTTCCCAGCAGGCCCTCCTCTCTCCCTCCTCCCTCCTCCCTCCACTGGATTGAGGTTGGGGGTCCCTGTTCTCCCCTCCTGCCTCCCTCCTGGTTCCATGGCCTTTCCCTTGCCTCACCTGGGAGCCAGGCCTGGGGGGGTCTGGGTGCAGTAAGTTTCCCGTCCCCCCACCTCCCCGCCAGTAGCTACAGGGGCACAGTCCTGCCCGCTGCCATAGACCCCGAGCCTGCCAGGGTCCCTCCTCTACTGTCAGTGCCCCGATACCTCAACCCTCCCCCTTGTCGCCATGGCTGCACCTCGTGCCTGAGCCACTCCCCCCCCCGCCCCCACACCCCTGCAAACAGCTTCACACTTGCCCCGGGGGTCAGGCCTGGAGAAGGGTCTTTGGTCCTACATCCCCACCGCCCCCCAGGCAGTCCACAGTTCCCAGCACCTCTAGCTCCCTTGTACTCGACTGGCCCCAGCGGGAGGCGGCTCCCGTTCCCGGCCGGGCGGCACCCACCAGCAGCACAGAAAGCAGAGGAAGAAGGGCGCGGAGACCGCCAGCTGCAGCCGCGCCCAGTCGCGCACGCCGTAGGCCACGGCGGCCATCAGCATCATGCCGAAGCTGTAGCCCAGGGAGTTGAAGGTCATGGCCAAGACGCGGGCTCGCGTGGATGTCCACTCCATCACTGCAGGGGGACACACAGGTCACCCCCGGAGCCTGTGGGCCTTCCCTGCCCGCCCGGGCGGGGGCACCTACGGAGCGTGGCGGTGTTCATCATGACGCCGGCGATGGCCAGGGCCCCCAGGAAGCGGAAGAGGCAGTACAGGGCGAAGGTGGGGGCGAAGGCGGTCGCGGTGCCCCACACGGCCATCTGCAGGTAGCTCCAGGTCAGCACCAGCCTGCGCCCGAACCTGTGCACCGGGAGGCGGGGGCCACGGCGGGCCACGGATTGGCCACGGAGGTGACACCAGAGCCCACGCTGTGCTCGCTCACTGAGCAGAGGGGAAGCTAAAGACAGCCGCAGCCCTAGCTGGTGTGGCTCAGTGGATAGAGCGTCGGCCTGCAGACTGAAGGGTCCCGGGTTCAATTCTGGTCGCGGGCACACGCCTGGGTTGCAGGCTCCATCCCCAGTGGGGAGCGTGGAGGAAGCAGCCAATCAATGATTCTCTCTCATCATTGATGTTTCTCTCTCTCCCTCTCCCTTCCTCTCTGAAATCAATAAAAATATTTTAAAAAAATAAATTAAAATGGCACCTGGGGCCAGAGCCACATTTTCTGGTTGTTGTTGTTAATCCTCCCCTGAGGATATGTTTTCATTGATCTTTTAGAGAGAGTGGAAGAGAGAGGGGGACAGACAGACAGAAATATCGATGTGAGAGAAACACATCGGTTGGCTGCCTCCCGCACATGCTCCAACCAGGGCCCAGGCCGGGAGGAGTCTGCGACCAAGGTATATGCCCTGGACTGGAATCGAACCCAGGACCCTTCGGTCCTCAGGCCGACGCTCCGTCTACTGAGTCAAACCAGCTGGGGCCAGAGCCACGCTCTTGGTCCGTGAGTCTCCTGAGCACAGGTGGGCACGGTGGTGCCCTCAGGGGAATGCATTCCCGCCAGCAGGGCAGCCAGGCAGCCGAAGGCGGGCGGCGGCCGCAGGTGTCGGCCGTGAGTGTCTGATGAGAGCATAGCCCTCCACAGCCCCCAGGAGACTCGGGGAAACCAAGGCCAAGAGGGTGTGAGCCCTGCGCCCAGCACAGCCGGGGGTGTGGGAGGGAGACCCACACACAGGCATCTCGGGCGAGGGGCAGCCAGGGCGCGGGCCTGCCTGGAGGGGAGGGGTCCGCACCTGTCGGAGGCTTGGCCGGTCACCGCGGCTCCCACCAGGACCCCGGCCAGGAAGATGGACTGCGCCATGGGCTTCAGGGCCTGCGCATCACACACCAGGTCCCACTGCGGGGAGAGGGGGGAGCCCCGGTGGGAGGGAGCTCGAGGGGAAGGCCCCGGGGCTGGTGTGTGGGCAGCCTGGTGCCCTCTGGGGCTGGAGGGCAGGGCCTGTGGGACAGCCAAGGCTGTCACCCCTGCCTACGCCCCTCCCTGGCTCCCTACTGCCCCCAGGCAAGGGCCGTGCCCTTTCAGGACTCATCTCCCTCCCACTTCCCTCTGGTTCTTTACAGAACCCCCCTCCCGCGCCCACATTGCCCATGCGCCTGGCGGGTCACCCCTGGGAGTCTCATGACTCTTCCCTGAGCCCCGCTGGCAGGCGGAGCAGCTGGGCTTGCATGTCAGGGAGCCGCCTGCGTCACCGCTGGTGAGAGGGTGCCCTCCGTGTCACCTGCTGTCCCACCCGCCAGGGCCTTGGCAGG